ATCAAATAATTATTTTGTGTAATATTTATAAGAAGTAATAAAATGTAAAAAAAAAAAAAAATACTATGCTTTTAGTGTTTTATAACTTTTTCAATGATAAATAAAATAAATAATAATTATGAAGTAAAATGCATATTTCTATTTATTTACCATGTTCATTGGTAATAACTAATAAATATCAGGTTAATTGTTTCATTTTCCTACTTCAAAAGGTTTATTACAAACGTAATATATTATAATAGATATAAATTTTAGGTATATTTATATAAATATGTTTATTAGTATAAACATTTTTTATTCTATATTACGATACAGATAATAATTCTTAATGTGTTATTTCTTTTGTATATTTTGATGATTTAATGGGATATTATACAATTATTATTTGAATAACTTTTTATTACCAAAAAGCAATGCTATACAATGAAAAATGTTGGGGAAGTAAGAGGCTAAAATTAATTGTGTTTTTGTAAAAATATGAACTAATATAAAAATAATCGTGCCTATATGTATCGTTAATATATTTAAATAGCTATAAAAAAAATTTATGACAAACCTGGAATTAAATTTTTAAATTTTGACCAAATAAAGAATTACTATTGCCATATTTAGAAAAAAAACTAAAATCAATCAAATAAAATTCAAGCAAACATGGTCTAAGCAATTTTAGCAAATTTTCATTTACTTATTGTTGTTTTTCCGATTATTTTAAAAAGTACTGAAATTTTACAATTTCGATCTCCTAAAAGTCTCAGCTAAATCCAATTCGCTTCCAAAAACCTTCATTGAAGTTTATGATCAGAGCATTTTTCTATTAGAAAATTTGAGGAGTTGAAATTGTACAAACATTTTCAAATACCTCACTTAAACGTGTACAATTATTTGGCTTGATAAGTTGAAAATAATTTTTTTAAATTTATTTCATGATTAATAATAATAATATACATTATTTTATACAATTATCTAATTTGGACGTACCTTTCAAATCTAATACACTACTATGATATTTCTATGTCTTATCACTTATAAACCGTTTATAAAAGTGTCTTATAATTCTTCATCCACTCGCTCATCGTGATTTACTAATCCTCTTGATTACTCATGGTGTTATACATATTTTCTCTAATCTTTCTTGTTATATTTGATTTWTACTTTGAAATTGTAATCTTATTATTTAATTTTATTGCATATAAGTAATTCAAATACATTATACTCTATTTCATTATTTTCCACTGCTTTTTATACTTAACTCTAAAAAACAATGTCAATTATTATAAGTATACGAGCTATTAAAATTAATTTCAATTTAATACTCCTAGATAAGAATTACGAATAAACGTTAAGTTTAAAAAATAATTAATAAAATAATCGAGAACTTATGACTAGAAAAAATGTTTATAGAAAGTYGAATACGACACAGCTGGATTAAATACCTATAATACATAGGACACTCGTCTCCCTTCACACACCTTAGTACGGAATATGGTGTATTCAGTATTTAGATATTACACTTTAGACATTAAGAGCTATAATAAAATATTGCATTCAAACAGTTTTTCCGAGTTCGTTGTTAAACTAACACATYCTATACCACACAGAATTTAATATGAAAATATTATTTATTYATGTGGTCATATATATGATAAAATTATATTCTATGAAGGTTTTAAAGAAAACATTTATTTTATTTGAAATTTGTACACATAATAACTTATACAAATACTTTTCTATTTTAAATAATAGGTATATTATTTTAACCATTTATTTAAAATATCATATTACTAGTACCTACCTAYATTGTCTGATATATTTAAATCTAAAATCACACACTGTAGTATTATAACATTAGGTAGGTATACTACAAAATTGATTTCACGAAACTATTCTAAAATTTATAAGGAATAACATTATCTAAATTACTTACTCTTGAGTTTATTTTTTAAATTCTCATATAAAATAACGATCTGAAATGCTTGAGTTCTACTATTTGGAAATCCCTTACATCTTTGTAAAATCAAAGTATCATATCAAAATAATACCAAGATATCTCTATAAATTGTATAATGTATACATATAAATATAATTTTCAACCATGTATTTCAATTTTTGGATATAAGAAATCCAAATTTATTATTTTACGTAAAATAAATATTAAAGATGACATATAATTCGTGCTGTTTTAGGATTAATTTATACTTATGGATCAGTCGTTACATTAGATAATTGGATATTAAAGTAGAATCATGCTCAAATTATTTACTTTTATTCTGAATATTATTATTTTATTACAACAACTACACCTTAATTCCTAAGAAAAAAAATCATAAATACAACTTTATTCTTCAGATTTCGTCAAATGTTATTTATGAATGCCCAAGAAAAAAATGTCCAATGATAATAAAATAAATGTTGAAAAATATGTACATTGTGTTTTAGACAGTTAACAGTTCTCGTTAATAAAGTTTGTCTCCAAAGCGATCCATTTTTTTGATTATTCCATGCAGTAAATATCAACACAAAAAGGGACTCACCGATTTGCGATTTTACCGTTAAACAAATATATAATACTATGTATTACTAAATATGTATCGAATATATTAACAAAAAAAACCCTATGTCAACATTAAAAGTCATTTTTAATGTAATAAAAAAACTCTTCATTTAAAATCAGGAACCAGCAGTCTGTTTGTTACTTGATAATACAAACTGTCAATAGAGTGTTGTTATTATTATATTGCCATTATTATTTTTTTCCGATGGCATAATTTACAGAGGTAAAACACAGTGTTGTAACTCACACCGATTGTTTTTTTTTCTATTTTCAACATTTTTAAATAATTTATTACTATTATTAATTTTTACTGAAAAAAGGGTGAGGTAAAACAAAAACAATAATTATTATTGTGCTCTATGTGTAAAGAAGCAGACGACTGAGGTCTGTCAGAATGTTAGAATAACACAAGTGACATATAATCGACCCTTCCGGTTCATTGGACGAACATAATACATACATTCGGTACAACAATACCCCCACGGGATAATTTAAGAAAAACGTTTTCCTCGATAACTCACAAAAATATTACTTAACTACAAGCACAAGTCTTTGACCCCTTATCCTTGCTCATGTAATATAATCATTAACCATTCCAATGCATTTATTGAACTACTTTATATTTTTATTTGTTATTGAATGTACCTATAACATTTAACTATTAAACAGTCTAACTAACAATACTTAGGGGAGGAAATTAATGAACGATAAAATTATCCAACTGCGTTTACTCTTTGGTCTCTTTTACATTTAATTGCAACCACAGACATTTAATATGCTGATAAATTATTGTTAAAAATTAAAGTATTT